AAAAATGAGCTTTGAGACGCCAGAAAACCGTTAACAGGTCCGAGCGCAAAATTATTTTAAAGGCTAGCTGGAGGCTGGAAGTGCTAGAATATTTTTCGAAATTGAAGCGTACGGCTAATTTGTAGTAGTTGGTACCAGCTTAGCAAATAATTTTAAATTCCGGACTACAACAACAGCCTTTTATGGCGCATGAAATACAGCATGTTGTGCTTCTTGTGGTCGCACGCTACAGCAGTTGCAAGCAGCACAGTAGAGTAAAGCTTCGGCCTGTCGGACCATGGAAATGCGGGTGTGTATTGTCGGCGTATTGAAATAGCAACTGTTGTGAACATGCGGTCAAGCTGCAGGTGCGAAGATGAAAAATTAGGAGTTCATGATTTAGCTTTTTCCAGAGCATCTCAAGGATAGACTGGATAATTATTTAAAACAATTCAACGGGAAAGTGAGATTAGTACGAAACACTGAACGTGAAGGGCTTATTCGAACACGCAGTATAGGCGCTAAGGAGGCAGCTGGCGATGTTGTGATATTCCTGGATGCACATTGTGAAGTGAATATTAATTGGCTACCTCCACTTCTGGCTCCAATACGTCAGAACAGGTAAAATGTGTTGTTACTGGTGTTACATTAAGCTTCAGATATGAAAGAAGTCATCCTCCTGCTTGGCCTTTTTTCTTACTTCTGAGAGCGAGGACCTTTTAGCACAGCGGTGCCCTCTGTTTACATTTGCCCTTCATGTTTAGCTTAGTTTCGCATTTTTAATCCCTGTTTCTTGGACTTTCTTGCTCTTTAACTCATTCGAATTAATTTTATTTTTTTGGCTAGATTATTTGCACGCATAGTAGTAGTGTCTTCTCTGTTAAGATCACATTTACATTTTTTTAATACAGTTTTGCACGTCAAGTCTCATTTTTCTGCACTTGCTTTATTACACTCGGACGATTTCCAACATTACTGTAGGAGCAGGAAAGAAGCGGAACGGATAGGAAGGGAGCGAGGGGGCGAGAGGGAGGGGAGTAAAGGAGAGGAAAGTGAGAAGGAAGAGGAGCAGTCATCCCACTTTCTTCCTTGGACTGTTGCTGGTAGTAAGAATTTTGGCAAGTGCAATTCGTAGTGGTGCATACCCACTGCCTAAAAATAATGGCTGCAAAAGCGTGCTTTTATTGCATCATTGTACGTGGCTTTTTATCATATTTCTCCAGTCAGACTGTTCGAACTATAGTTCACCGGAACTTCGGGATTTATCCGGAAACGAGAATATATCACCGGAGAGAGGATTTGCTTTCCCCTAAAGCGATTTTCCTAAAATTTAGGCACAGGCACTAAGATTGTTTGATTTTTGCTCGTATGCCTTTTATCAACATTACTGCTTGTTCGGACTGCTCTCAGCACACTGTGTCATGTAAAATTTTTAACTAATTTTAGGAAAGTTATGACAGTCCCTGTAATTGATGGTATCGACATGAATACTTGGTCTTATCGCAGGGTTTATGGTTCCGCAGATCGCCATTTCCGGTAAAACTGTACTCTACTTATTTAGCCTACGAGCTGCTTGCGTCTTTTTTTTTTTTGCTAAAAAACCGATAGTCCCTAGTTCTCTAGAATGTGTATGGTTTTTTCATAAGATTTGATTTACAAGTTAACACTTTTTACGCGTTTTGTGTTATTTAATAGCAGTACAAAACGCATATTATCACGGGGTTGTCTGTGTGTGCGTGTGTGTGTCCGCAGCAACTTGCCCACAACTTTCAACTCGGGAACCACAAAAGCTAGAAAGCTGAAAATTTAGGGTAACGTTACCCATCTACGCGCGACCCCGCAAATTTAAATTCAGCCTCCCCTTACCCACGGGTAACATGTACGGTCCCGCGAAAATTTTTGACGAGTAAATTATTATCTCGGGAACCACTGAATTTATGAAGCTGAAATTTTAGCGTAATAACTCCCTGCCCACGCTCGACCTTGCCTATTCAAGCTCAGCGTTTACGCGCTCGGGTACCACCTATGGCCGCGTGAAACTTTTGGCAGGTAAATTATTATCTCGGGAACTACGGATCCAGGAAGCTAAAATTTTGGAGTAATGACCCCCTACCGACGTACGACATCGCAAATTCAAATTCAGCATTCTTACGCTCTCGGGTGTCAGCATTCTTACGTACGGCCCCGTAAAAATTTTGGTTTGGAAATTATTATCTTGAGAACCATAAAACCAGGGAGCTAAATTTTATAGTAATGTCTTCTTGTCCACATACAATCCTGCAATTTTAAATTCAGCTTCCCATGCGTCCGGGTATTACTTACGGCCCCGTGGAAGTTTCGGTGGGACAGTGAAAATCATTAGTAGGCAATCTTTCGGTGAACGGGATTGCACAAAACGCATGTTCACACCGGTTGCCCTGGTGTGTGCGGCTATTTATTTATAGTTGATTTAGCCTTTGAATTATCAATTCATGGTGCAGTGCTTTAATTTTTGGTCATTTTGTTGAGAAGAGTATCCGTAATACGTTAGGATGGCACAAGGCTAAGGCTGTGAACAGGCGAAGATACGACGAAGATCACTTCTACTGGTTTTTAAAAAGCTTTATAATCCTTGTTTACAGAGGCATATTTGAATGGGGACTTCTATATAAGGAAACAGAGATATCCGCGCAAGAGGCAGCAAGGAGAAAGCACAACAGCGAGCCGTTTAGGTTTCTAGATATTCAGAGCTTATTTTTTGCATTGAAACTGACATTATGCATGTTGTTCAGGAAATTCATATTATTTTTGAACCAGATTTCTGAATATTCCGAATTCCAATAAACCAGACACCCAGTACGTGGAAAGCAAGCTGAATTTTTCAGGTCTCCGACTCATGCTGGTGGTTTGTTTGCAATCGAAAAGAACTGGTTTGAAGAACTGGGTTATTACGATCCAGGATTACAGATTTGGGGCGGCGAACAGTATGAACTTTCTTTCAAGGCGAGCTAATTAGCATATTGCAAGGAGAAATGTAGAATTTCACTGGCAGTGTGGTGGGTCGGATAGTTTCGTAGTTGGGAAAGGGGAACTCAGGAAGGTGCGGGGAAAGGAGAGGAAAAAGAAAGAGCGAGGAAAAGGAAGGCGAACAGTGTCAAGAACTGCATGATCAGCCTTTGTATGCGTTTTATGCTGTAACAGTTGCGCAAAACGCGTGTTGTCGAATCGTATACATATATACAAATATAGGTATATGTTTGTGTGTTTGTTTTTGGAAGTACGCTTTATCAAAGATTTTCTCAAGAGTCAGTAGTATCGCCCTTCTTCACAAAAATGTTTTGGCAGAATTGCTAGCTTGTGGTTGCTGTTGGCATTTGTTACTATTTGGGCTGCTTGCTGGGTGCTTCTTCCACCTCTCACAGCAGCGAGTACGGAGAAGGTTTTGATTTTTATGCGTTTTTTGCATCTGTGCAATGCAGAAAACGCATACTGACGAGGGGTTGTCTGTGTGTTTGTGTCTGCGTGTCCGTGTGTGCGTCTGTCACGGTTTTTCATCTCAAGACCTACAAAAGCTGCAGGGCTGAAACT